TATATACAGGTCAAATTAACAGTAAATATAAGGGACGATTTTTGGGAAGTTGTTCAGTGATCGTTATGCACAGGGTGACCGCTATATACAGGGTCGTTATATACAGGTTTGACTGTATCCCCATTTGCAACCTCTAAGGTGAGAAAAAGGGTCCTACTTGGAACAGACATAGTTCCCATATTGTCTTAACTCCCATCATTAGATTGGGTAGGGTAGATGGTTCTTGGTTTAAGACAAAAACTGGGAATTTCAGTTTTTATTAAGACTGCACCAGCGGCAAAACTGTTGTCATGGCAACAGCACTAAGGGTGTCATTTTGTTTCTTTTGTGGTGTACATTTGTAGTGCCAAGTTTCAAGAACACTGCTTCAATATTTCTAGATGTTTATTCAGTATTTTACCATTTTTTAGTTGCAACCAATATGACGTCATTACTGATCTAATTTGCATAATAGAAAAACGTCAATATCTCTAAACTAAAAAAAGATATTTCAAAAAGAAAAACGCCATTCTTCTGCATTTTGAAAGGCCTTTCAAATAAGCAGAAACTATTTTTCATGTCATATACACTTTAATGATTAGAATGATCAACAAATAATTTATGCTGATTTTCGCAGGATGCTCAATATGATCCCAAATCAATATTTCATACTCTTGCTCTAGCAACTCAGTGGCAGAGTATTTCAACACTCAATCACTGTATAGTGATAAGGGATTTTTTTTTCGAGATTGGAGAAGAGGGAAAACGTCACTTGTTTCCCTCGTTTCCACCTTGATAAAAAATAGAGTGCTTGATGGCAGGTTGCCGGGACTTTGAAAACATTGTAATCACTGAATGAAAAACATGAAACCCATGCTGAACATGAAAGTTGCATTTGAATATTTTAATAACAGCATTGTATTTGATCTTCGTTTTTCTGATATATGGATCTGTCAATAAAGCAAAAAAGGAAGGTAGTTAACTGAATATGCTAAGCTCACTAACATTTAATACTGAAAACCCTCACATATGGTTCATGCTTTCTACAACTTCTTGTGATCTGAAACACTCTTTGCTGCATAAAAAGATACACTTGAATTGCAACAAACCTATGCCCACTATTCAGCACACATGGGCATTATGTACGTATTTTTAAAGGTTGCAATACCAACACTTCAAGGGGCTTATTCATTTGAAATTATTAAACCTTATATTCTATTAAATGTCATAAATTAAGCCATTCTTATTGTAAGATGTTCGATCTTTTGGGCAATAAAACTATAAGAAAATTCAGAGAAAAGCAATATCACCAAAAATGACTGAGAACTGCAATGTTCAGGTGTCTTACATAAAAATATCCTAGTAAACATTATTTATATTAGCTTTCACAACCACAGTCATAACAAGTTAATATGTTTTCTATTTCATTTCCTTGTAATTTGCTCTCCATTATCTTATAGGTTAAAGGTTAAGTCTGCATCATGTCAAGTGGTGCATACTGCCAGAACTTATCCCTGTTTCAGTAGAATTAATTAACTAGGAATATCTTGTTCATTGCAGGGTTACCCTTCAACATTAAATTTGCTGTCACTTATTTATACACCTGGGTGGAGAGACACATTGAGAGTGTAAAATGTCTTGCCCAAAATGCAATGACTCTGGCTAGCGCTCGAACTGGGACCACTCAATCCAGAGTCCAGCATGCTAATCGATTAAAACATCTTGCCTCCCATTATCGTAGAGCAAACATGTTCATTTTCAGCTTCTAGATGCTCTACCTTATAGCTAGGATGGTCCCAATGTTGTTCTACATTTTAAGAATCTACCCTTGCTGAAGGAAGTGCACATAATTCCCTCTTCCGTGATTGCTACCCAGGCGTTCTCTAGAAAGTTTTATATGGGGAGGCTCTGCCCCAACGTCCAACGACTAACCCTTTTGTATACCATTTTGTCAAAAAAGCTGCCCCTTTGTATACCTTTTATTGAAAAAAGGTACAGTCCCTTTCGCACACCTACTTAAAAAGCACTGCATCCCTTTACTAAACCCTTGGAATGAAGTTACTGAACAATATTTTGGGAGAAGACCAAGCATAACCAGAAAAGATGTTAACCAAAAAACAAGTCTTATTTGTTCAGTTCATGCGTAGTGAGAGCCACGATACTCTGATTTCCCTACCCTTTCATATAGCTCAACTTGTGAAATCCCTACCCTTTAAATAACTATGTCTAGTATATATGCATGAAACCTGAGAAAGGTACCCATTTCGGGTAGAGCCTCCCCATATAGGCCATTATAAGGAGTGCCTCCACCTGAGGAGGGGGTTGCTATTTTTCAAAGAGTGAAGTTGATGCCTGTAAATAATCCTAGTATATTTGCAAAAAGGAGCTTTGCAATTTCTAATAAAAATAGTGTTTTCTAGAGCCTTGGTGTCTAACTTGAGCTACGGTGACTTAGTGACTGATGGATCTTGTTCCTTGGCTTACTACATGTACATATGGTTTTTTAGTATGGACAAAAACTTCATTCAATTCCATGTGCAAAAATCATTACCAAACCAGGTTCCAAAGTCATAGATTCACCCATATGTTCATTTTCACACGCCATAATCACCACTGCCTGTTTTCCAGGAATTCTCTTGCATACATACTGTTCATAACGCCGACGATTTAACTGTCGTGTTTCAAGAGTACTTAGCCCTGGAGGCCATTTTCTCTCATGAGCATTCTCCATAAGTTCATTTAAAATTGCTGGTGGACATCCACTGTCTGCAAGTGCTCGGCGAATCACTGCTTGGAGGACAGCGTCAGGAGTTGATATCATTCCACCCCATCGTGTCACTCTGGCTGATTGTAATCCAGCTAACCACTGATGAACTTCGTTGTCATAGTGATCTGCCTGTGGCAGGTTGCTTGGCAAAAGAGGCAATGCCTGTGGCAAGTTGATCACTCTCATTGCTCGGATCATATCCTTGAGAGCTTGGATCTCACGTTTCTGTTCATTAAGCTGCTGACGCTGGTCATCAATCTGAGCTTGCAGTTGTGCTTGTTTGAAGTTCTGGTTTTGGATGAGATTATTTAGCTCACGAACACAGTTATGCTGAGGCAGCTCATCAAAAGGCACAACCAGCCCACAGCCTTTCTCGCAGTTAACTGGCCTTTTGGGATTGTGTTCACACTGGGACAGATGAGACTGTAATTGATCTAGTCTAACTACACCTTCACAGCCAAATGCGTCATTTTCACATTTAATTGTCAACTTCGATAAAAGATTCTTTAGAATTCTTGGTACTTGTTTCAGTTGATGTGGAGTTAGACTGCGTCGATCTACTGGACATGTCTGCTGGTGATTCAGCCACTCATGAATACAAGCTGCACAAAATGCATGTTCACAAGCTGGGGCCTGGAGAGGGTCTTCTAACACCCCACCACAAATTGTACAGATCAGTTCTTCATCAACTGTGCACGTAAACCTTCCTGTGTCATATCCCATTCTGGTAAGATGATAGAGCTAGAAAATAAATGAATAAAACATCATTATCAGCCTTAGTACTGGTAGGTATGGTAACCAGCAGTTGAACCCTGGTACACATGAAACCTTTGTTTGTCTCCCCTATTTTCATAGATGCAGAAACTTGCTTATGTAAGATTTACAGATTTTCAAAAAGGAAATTGATTATTTAATAATCTTATGCTAAGGGAAGCTTTCAGCCACTAGCAACAACCAAACTGTCACAGAAGTTGTGTTGATTCAGAGGGACAAGGTTTGAAATATTCTGTGAATGTGTTGTTTGTAAACTTGCATTCCATGTAATTTGAGATGCCGAGCCTGGCTGTTTGATTAAAACTGTTGAAGGTACACTA